CACGGTTCGCTGCTCAGTTTCACTCGATTCTATGGCGACCTCAGTTTCAACCAATTCTAGATTAGTAGGAGGTTGATCGTCATCACAATCTAGCATGAGAATTCCTGAATTCTTGTGACGCAAATAGTGATCTGGAGTTTCAAGTTCGTCGCAAAAGATACATAATCCTTTCCACCTTCTCTGGTCAATCTCTTCAAACGTAAGTCTTCGATAGAGCTTCTTGATGCGCAATCCCAACGATTTTGCGGCTTCATGAACCACCGCTTCAGTCAATTTCGTCAGTGACCGTGTCTCCGCCATCGATTCCGAGAATACGAATGGCTCTGATACCTTTGATAACGAACAAATTCACCAATGCTTCAATTCAAATCGTAACCGGAACCAAATCGGACTAACGTTCATAAAACGCGAGCCGATATCTCAAATGACGAAGATCTAACGGAGAGATCTCGATCTAGATGAGTACATCACCATAATCTCAGAACAAACTAAGAAGAAGAAGAAGAGATACAACTAAAAATGATTTCTCTGGTTTTGCATAATGAAGAAGAAGAGAACGACATTTCTAATATAAAGAGCTTCACCAGCTTGCTCCAATCTCGTCTTGCCACGTGTTTCTCTTAATCCCACCAATCAACTAACTACACGTGTCTTCATAGTTGTGATACCAAATTCCTATAACACAACACCAATCTGGACAAGGATCGAGACCGAGATCGGGAACGAGAACGTGACTGCAACTGGAAAAGAGATAGAGGGCGAGATCGACACTGCAATAGGGATAGAGACAGAGAGCAAGAGCGAGAGAAAGACCGTGAGCGTGGTCGTCGTGAACGATATCGTGAACCGGATCAAAGAAATAGAGATATGGATCAAGAGGAAGAGGCTAAGGCTAGGAAGAAGGTAAGGGTTGAAAAATTGGTTGAGAGAGAGAGGGAGAAAGAACTCATTTGATATGAAGGTTTATGAGAAGATTTATTTGTTTTTTTTGCCAGATTTGTGTTAGTTTCTCTAGCTCGATGCTTAGGTTAATTGTTGCTGTAACTTGTCTTCGTTTTACGTTCTTACTGTGATAGGAAGCTTGTTGACAAGGTTGCAGAAGCTGGATTCTATGTCGTGGTTCCTGATGTCTTCCATGGAGATCCACTGTTAGTTGTTGATTGGAAATCTAAGAACAAGACAGTGACTTATCTCTTTGTTGGATAATAAATAAACCATGGTCCATTGACATGAGCTTACACATGACTTTATCTTTCCTGTTTTGTGTTTAATCTCAGCAAAATGTGGTGGAAATGGCAAAACAGAAGCTTGTTGACGCTACTGTTTTATTACATCCTTCTAGTGTGAACAAAAGATTAAAAAAGAGTGAGAGTCATCAATCTTGCTGTAAAAGATGGTAAAACACATAGAAGCTTTCTTTTGATAAACTCGAGACTAGGTACAATAATCAGTTGTGCAGTTTGTAATTGTTGTTGTTTTGCCTTTTTTATAGGTGAACTAATCTTTTGATGCTAGAGAAATGGAGTATGTGTGGTTAGTATCTTCTGTTTGTTTGATATATGGTGAGATCACATTTGTTTTGAAATTGTTTTCTAATAGTAAGTTTGATAATATGGGTTTTGTTAGTATTGCTTCGGTTATATCTTGGCACGATTAGTTTTATGAAAATATTGATGGTATTTTTGTTTGATTGCAGGTTGGAGTTTGTGGAAACAATGTCATGAATAACCAACTAACAAGTGATCTCATGTATGAGTTTCTGTTTTTTTTTTTCGTATGAATCTATAAATTATTTTATGGTTCAATATTTGTTTTGTCTTTAGTGAGGGTATTGGATAGAAAGCTTCGATTCATCTTTTGGTGAGGTAAGCTTTCATTGGATCTCAGATATTCTTAAGAAAAGCTTTCATTGGATCTTTGATATTCTTAAAAAATTTCTGATTCTAAAAATTCTTGTGTTCTCTGTGAAGTATGTTCTTCATAAGCTATAATTCAAATTCATGGTCTCTAGTTAAGTTGTGTTCTTTTTTTTTCTCAGATTCAGCTGTGGTAGGCATTGGTAAGACACTTTGCTGCTCCAAATACCTTTTCTAGCTTATCCATTCCCTGCTTTTTAGATTTTGGTTATTCATTCTATGAAGAGAACAAATGGGGATTGATATCAGTTTTTCTCTATGTAGCTGCAGAAGGAGTTTGATGAGTATGAGAAGGAAATGTCACTCGGGGAGGAGCTGCAAAAGAGATCTCAGGTTCCTTATCTTTCCTTCTTTCCTCACGCTTTTATATGTAGTCATTATCTAGTAGAAGCATTTGAAAAACTCACTTGCTTTACTTATACAAAGACAGCCAACGACAAAGAAAAGAACCAAACTGCAGAGAATATGGAGAAGGCAGTGAAGTGTGGACATCAACCTAAGTTCTTGGAGGGAGAGAAAGAGCAATCCAATGTAATTCTTCGTTTAGTCCATCTGAATTGCAGTACTTATGATGTTGTTTAAGACCTTGTTTTAACAAATGGTGTTGATTGCTATACTATGTAACTTTTGATGATCTATGGAAAGAAACATGTTTTTAATAAATTGGTTATGTAGCATATTATTAATTGGATTTCAAATTCATATAATGTATTCTAGCATAAAAATGCGCTATAAAAAATCAAAGCATTTTAATAAAGTTATGGTAGAAAGCACCTATAATAGCACGAAAAATGAGTTATTACATAATTAAAAAAAAATATAAAGTCGCTATACCAAAGCGTTTAACTAATGCTATGGTAGAATACTCTACCATAACATACGGAAAAAACGCTATCGTATGTGGGGGGTCTACCATAACAGGGGCATAAGACAGCGTTTATGAAAACGCTATTAATGACATATAATAGCTCTTTTCTCTAGCTAATAATGTAGATATTTCTTGTAGTGTATATATTCAAAAAACCTATAAAATGTGTTAAAATATCACTTAACACATAGTTTTGAAGCACCATAATTGGCATCCGATGAAGATTCTACTGTATAATAAATTAAACGTTTTTGGAGTCATTGGAAAGATAGAAGATTCACCTTTCCCCTCCAAGTAGAATCAGACCAATCTATCAAACAATTCAGAAGTGGCCAAGCTTTGAAGTTCAGTCAATTAACCAAAATATCACCACTTCATCATTTTTGCATACGAGAAGCTCTAAACCGACTTGTGAAACCCAAGATCTATAAATACATGAAGACTCACCTCTTTTCACATGATGCTTCTCAAAGTCTCTTAAAACACACTTCATAACCAGGAAACCCAAAAACAAATCCCCAATTTATTTATGTCTTACTTAGATTTTGTTTTTTGAATTCATTTAATCTATCGATGACAACACATCATTACACACCGTAAAAAAAAACCCAAAATGTGACTTGAATGAGAAAAATCTATAGTGTCTCCTACCAAACTACAACATAGTAGACAACACTGAATATTTGAGGCACATATTGAAATGTTTGGAGGATACCAAATACGAATGTGCGACAAAGATGTTTTCATGATGAACTCCTTAATTCTTACCGAGTAAAGGCTTCGAAAAACTCGTGGTCATACCTTGTTGCTACTTATACATAATATAATGATCGAGTGGGTATATTTATTTCTAACAGCTAACACACAACTAGAAATGCAACTTGTATATCTCCTATATCAACAAAATATATAGCAAAACGAAAAGATTAAAAACAAAAAGAGTATACTGCTAAAGACAAAAAAGATTCTAATACTTGCCACCAAATTTATCGTTGGTGCAATATTAAAAAAAATTATATTCAAGATTACAACAAAACAAAAGACGAAAGTAAAAGGGAGCCGGCTAAGGGCATGATGCATTGGGATGGGAACAACTAGGCGAGTGAGAACGCTTAGATCGGTAAGAGTTGTATCTAATATCAAAGACCAACCCGACACTGCCAATGACATTACACATGACATATACAATAAAGTGGCGTCATCTAATTTTGCTGCAACCATGGTCATATTCTTTCAACCTCCTAATCTCGACACAATAGATTTATTCTCTTCCATACAAGCACGAAACCACCCACAAAGATTCTTAATAAAATATATGTTATATGTCCTGACATTGTCTCTCTACTCAATTCGAGGATTTCCACGCGGAAGATTGATTCCAGGTTGCTTTGCCTAACATATCATACAACAAAGACTAAAGTAATGAAATGAAGATGCGAGATGAAGGAAATCCGAAGTGTTCTCTTCTTAATTTTTAAGGAAAAAATAAAAGCCAGCAATAAAAAACATAAGCAAAATGTTTGGATGACGTTCGGGTTGAGAAACAGCGAGAAGCTCTTGTACACTCTTGATGGAACCCATCATACTATAAGCCATACTCCCCTTGTAAGGCCAAACCCCCACCACCGGTAATCTTCCCCCGATTTCATGGACATTTCTATTAGTATGGGATACATGCTAATTCACATCATAGCTAATCGGAAAGAGGAACATGTCCTTGGAAACTCTTCCAAAGAGCGACAATATATGAGAAAATCGTTTTATAACAGATCTATAAAAAGCTTAAAGGCTAAGGAAAAAAAAAAACTAACATGAGATGTACCATAGAGCCCATATGAAAGGTCTGATCGCGACAATATAAAAATTCTTATTTATGCAATCAGAATCAAGCAAGAAGTCCTACGTATATTTTATATGGCTAAGTGTAAACAAGCTTTTTTATTAAAAAAAATGATTTGTTCGTAAGTATTAAAATTTTTCCCATATTGGTCAGCTTATATATGAATAATGCATTTGTTGATTATGGTAACTTAATGAAATCAACATATAAGAAATTTAGTTATTTATATGTAGTCAAAATATTAATGACATTTCTCAAAATTACCTTTATTAAATTTTGGTAACCTTATTACATTTATTATTCAAATCTAAGGAAATATTTTAATGTATGTTGATAGGTTTTGTCTATAAATTTGCTGTTTTGCGTTCTCATGGTCGCGAGAGAAGTTGAAGAAAAGGAGAAAGTGGTCTTATAAGTGTTGAGGTAGCATATTTGGTATATCGTTCTTTCGATAAGAGCTGATGGAAAGTGGCAACGTTGTGAATGCACAACCTGAATTATCAGGCATAAGTAAGAAATTTTGACTCTTTAATTTATTTTTATTGAAATTTTTTATGGTTATAATGTTTTGGTTTTTGTTCAGCAGTTGATAGATCCACGAGCTATATGTACGAGCAGTTATGGAAATTGTGTGCTGGACCTTTATGTGATATTCCAAAAATTGGAGAAAAAGTTTATTACTTTCCTCAAGGCCACATCGAGCTTGTGAGCTCTCTCTCTCTCTCTCTCTCTCTCTCTCTCTCTCTCTCTCTCTCTCTCTCTCTCTCTCTCTCTCTCTCTCTCTCTCTCTCTCTCTCTCTCTCTCTCTCTCTCTCTCTCTCTCTCTCTCTCTCTCTCTCTCTCTCTCTCTCTCTCTCTCTCTCTCTCTCTCTCTCTCTCTCTCTCTCTCTCTCTCTCTCTCTCTCTCTCTCTCTCTCTCTCTCTCTCTCTCTCTCTCTCTCTCTCTCTCTCTCTCTCTCTCTCTCTCTCTCTCTCTCTCTCTCTCTCTCTCTCTCTCTCTCTCTCTCTCTCATATTATGTTTTGTTTATTTCTTTCGTTTATGAAGCATTTTGATGGTTTTTTCAGGTTGAGGCATCTACAAGAGAAGAGTTAAAAGAGATAAAACCAATTTTTGATCTTCCTTCTAAGCTTCAATGTCGTGTTATCGCTATTCAGTTTAACGTATATCTCTTGATGTTTTAGCGAATACACATGAGAAATATTATCTTATTTTGATATATGAATGTATTATAAAAACTAATTATTTAATTGTTTGGTTTTAGGTGGACAAAATAGTGATGAGACTTATGCTGAGATCACTTTGATGCCAGATACAACTGTGAGTGGAAAAATAAAGAATTTATTTTTAATTTTATTTTTTTAATGAATTGTAATTTTTCTCCTATTATATCTCATTGATTTTCTGAATTGTTTTAATGTTTAGCAAGTTGAAATCCCTACTCAGAATGATAATCGTTATACGCCATTGGTTAATTCCTTTACAAAGGTTTTAACGGCCTCAGATACAAGCGCCCATGGTGGATTCTCTGTTCCGAAAAAACATGCCATTGAATGTTTCCCTCCTCTGGTATTTATGTATAGTATTTTGTTTTTATTCAATGAATTCAAATTTTAAGCTTTTCTTAGACATTTACATATTAAATTTTGCTTTAGGATATGTCTGAGCCTCTACCGGCACAAGAACTTCTTACTATAGATCTCCAAGGGAATCATTGGAGATTCAAACACAGCTACAGAGGTAATAAATCTTTTTATTCATATAAATATATGAATATTATGATTAGTAATATTCTTTTTCCATGTAGGTACACCGCCAAGACATTTGATAACAACAGGTTGGAATGCATTCACAACATCAAAAAAATTGGTTGCAGGGGATGTTATTGTATTCCTTAGGTATAATATTGTTTTTTAAATATCTTTTGGTTCTTGAGTTTTGGACTTTAATCTATTTACTTGTTGTTCCAGGGGAGAGTCTGGAGAGTTACGAGTTGGTATCAGACGAGCAGGACATCAACAAGGGAACATACCTTCATCACTAATATCAATAGATAGTATGAGACATGCAGTAATTGCTTCCGCAATGCATGCTTTTGATAACCAATGTATGTTCATGGTGGTTTACAAGCCAAGGTAATTCAAAGAACCATGAACTCACATTTATGATTCTATTGAATTATCAATAGATTAGTTTCTTCAGCATGTAGATTTGTATATTGTGTCTTTATATGTATCAGGGCAAGTCAATTTATTGTTAGTTACGACAAATTCTTAGACGCTGTGAACAATAAGTTCAATGTCGGTTCAAGATTTACAATGCGGTTTGAGGGTGATGATTTTTCTGAAAGAAGGTAACATTAGATCAACATTTTTTTTCCTCTTAAATATATCTCTAATGTCTAATATTATATATTATAAAATATTTTGTTTTATTAATTAAGATATTCTGGAACAATTATTGGAGTTAAGGATTTCTCCCCTCATTGGATCGAATCAGAATGGCGAAGCTTAGAAGTAAAATTCCCTACACATTTATAACATTATTTTAAGAGTACGTTATTTAGTGCAATAAATAACATATTATTAATTAACTCTAATTTTGCAGGTGAAGTGGGATGAATTTGCATCATTTCCAAGACCTGAAAAAGTTTCTCCATGGGAAATTGAACATTTAGCGCATTCGTCAAATGTTTTCCGATCATCTTTGCTCAAAAACAAGCGTTCCCGAGAAGTTAATGAAATCAGTATTAAAAAAGACTCTTATAATCTTCTATTAAAGGAATTAATCTTCTATTAAATGAATTAAAAATTTCTTCTGAATACCTCCTCATTATACATATTATATATAGGTTCAACATCATCACATATCTTGCTTCCTATATTGACACAAGGTCAAGAAATTGGACAACCAAGCATGTCCTACCCGATGAATGTTCTTCATAGTTATCGCGATGCAACTGAAGATGCTGAGACTCCTTCTAGGTTGCTAATGAGCTACCCTGTCCCAACAATGCCCAAACTAAATTACAATAACGATCAAATGATTACACCACTAGAAGAAAATATAACAACCAATGCAGGTGCTAGTTGTAGACTGTTTGGAGTCTCTCTTGCCACTCCTTCAGTGATCAGAGATCCCAGTGAACAACCAGACTCAAATCCGACATCAGAGATTTCTAAACTCTCTCAAGAGAAAAAGCTTGGTCTGGGTCAAACTTTAACATCTACAAGAGAGATCCAAAGCAAGCAGTTCAGTTCTACTAGAAGTTGTACCAAAGTAAGTATAAGATCAATATATTCTTACTCTTTATACATGGATTTTTTCTCATTATACCCAACTCACGCAATCTTGATATGGGACAGGTTCAAATGGAAGGTGTAACAGTAGGAAGAGCTATGGATTTAAGTGTTCTTTATGGATATGATCAGCTAATACTAGAATTGGAGAAACTCTTTGATCTCAACGGCCAGTTGCAAACCCGCAACCAATGGGAAATAGCTTTCATAGACAATGAAGGAGATAAGATGTTTGTTGGAGACGATCCATGGCCGTAAGTTTCCTTTTTCTTTATGTTCATCGAAGATTTGTTAAAATCCTAAGAGATAATATTTCATTTTGGATGTTGTGTGCATGTAGTGAATTCTGCAACATGGTGAAGAAGATTATCATATATTCAAAAGAGAAGGTCAAAAACTCAAAGTCCGGGAACAGTCTCCTAAATTGAATATATAATCAAAAAAAATATAATAAAAAAGGTATAAAATGTAACCGATGTCTTGTTCTAGTTTTTTTTTGTTTCGCTTATTTGTTGTTGCATGCGTTTGTATTATGTATCTCTATTTCCATCATCCATAAATAAAATAAAATCTTCTTGTTTTCGTGAAATTAAGCTTTCTATCTAATTCATATAATCTTCTTATCACTGCTACATTCTAAATATTTGGGTGTAGTATTTTCCCTCGTGTTTCCTCAACTACCGTGAAATTAAACATAGGTAATCACCTTTCCATGCTGCATCAACATACATCCGAGACCCACTCTCGATGCATTTGTAGACATTGCATATGGCTCGCCCTGTTCTGGCAACGCCAACACTGGTGTGCTCGTCAACATCGCCTTTAGGTTCGCGAAAACTCTCTACATACTCTGAATACCACACTAAAGGAACATCCTTCCATGTCACCTTCATCATAGCTTGAGCCATACTCGCAAAACCCTTGACAAATCGCCGATAATACTCCGCTAAGCCAAGAAAACTCCTGATCTTAGTAGCATTCCTCGGCCTTGGCCACTCTTTGATAGCTTGAATCTTCTCTTTATTAAAGACTCTCCAGCCACTGAACTAATGTGCCCCAGAAACCCAATCTCCCGATACTAGAAACTACACTTGCTCAACTTAGCGAACAGCTTCAGTTCCCGCAGCTTCTCCAGGATAACCTTCAGGTGTACCTCATGCTCCTCAGAATTCGAATACACCAGAATGTCGTCTATAAAGATTATAACGAAATCATCCATGTACTTCTCAAACGCACCATTCATCAACCTCATAAATGCTGCTAGTGTATTCATCAACCCAAACGACATCACCACAAACTCGTAGTGTCCATATCTTGTCCGGAACGCTATCTTCTAAACATTTGCCTCATCAATCGGAATATGGTGATACTTGACGCCAAATCGATCTTGGAGAACCAAGTAGCTTTTCTCAACTGATCCAACAACTCATCAATATGTGGTAGATGACACTTGTTCTCATTGTAACTCGGTTAAGTCCTCGATAGTCAATACAAAACCGAAAACTCCTATCCCTCTTCTTCACAAACAACAACGGTGCTCCCCACAATGAACTACTTGGCCGGATAAAATCCTTATCCAGTAATTCCTCCAACTACTTCTTCAGCTCTGCCATCTCTACTGGAAGCCATTATGTAGGGTGCCTTGAATATTAACATCATCCCCGGTTCCAACTCAACCGTGAAAGGATCTGACCGTGACGGCGATAACCTATGCAACGACTGAAACACATCCTCGAACTCCTGAACGACCCAAATATCACGATTGTCGCTAGATAGGCCTCAGAACCTCTCTTGATCATATTCTCTGCCTGCACGACCGAGATCACGAGACTCCTGAAAGTTGGCATTCACCACCCTATAGATCAACTTTCCCTTCTCCCTCCCAACACGACACGCCTTCGGTGGCAATCCATATATACCCTATAATATCCAAGCCAATCCATGCCTAAGATGACGTCATTGCAGCTCCACTTCACAAATGATCAAATCTGTTGGCATAGATTTCCCCGCTACCTGTATATGCATCCAAGTTTCTAGCTCGTCCCTGAACAGCCTGAAACATCCTCTGTTTTGATCCGAGCTGTTTTTGTTTTGGAAAAAAAACATCATAATTAATATCCCCATAAATATTTAATTAAATTCACCAATTAACCAAATAATAAACCAACAAAACAACTCCAATTATCACGAATGAATAACCCCACAAAACTAGAAATAACCAGCAATCCTATAGTTTCTAAACAAGGTTCCAATAACCATAACATAAAAGACACAACCACAACGAGTTCTTAGATCTCCTTGCCATGATTCCACGTCACACCTTATCTTTACATGCACCATAAATAAAGAGATGCATAAGTATTATCACAAATACTTAGTAAGGAGATCCTCCCAACAACAGGCTATACACACAAGCAAGATAGAAAATCAAGACAGACAACAGTAACTAATTAACACTTCAAACCAGACAATTTCAGGAAGCTAATTGCTCCTACCCAGACTTGGTATCAATCGTCACCTTTACACACGAGTTGTGTCGACCGACACCCACCTGGTGTCGATCGACACTGACGCCGTAGGAAGTCTGAAGTCGATCCTCGCCTCTCTCACGCTTTGCTCCTGTGTACCACTTCGACCTCACAAGAACCCAAGGCACAATACAAGCATTACACGACCAGAAACACAACAATCAGCCCTATTCTATCCCAATCAACCTATAACACTTTTAAACAAAGCATCAAAAGTTCTCAACTTGCTTAGATAAGCCATGGTCACGCACTCACCTTGATTTAGGGACTGATCTAAGATAAGGAACAACAAAATCCAACACCACAACAACCTCCTCATGCCCAACAGCCACTGCTCTGCTTCTCCTCCTCTTGCTAAAACCATCAACACGATTAAACTCACTCAAACCCCTCCCCTTTTCTCTCTGATCAACACAAAACCAACTCTCTCTTTTCTCTCTTCTCTGGAAGCGACAAAGCACCCAAATTAGAGAAAAAGAGGTTGGGTCATGTTTTTATAGCACGTTTAGGGTTTTCCTCTAATTTGCATTAAAACCGGTTTGCAATTAAGAAATTTAATCCGAGCGTCCAAAAATTGATGGTGTCAAGCGACACCCTCCCTTAGTGTCGATCGACACCCATCATTTTGAGTTCGGGATGTTACATTGTACCTCCCAAATTTCCTGATCATAGTGAAATCTGCTGGGACAGAAAGTGGGCGTAGCTCTCATATGGAGAGTACACCACTATGAGTCTCATGTTTTGTTTGCTTATGTTTTATTCGTATTCTTGAGGGTGTGGAATATAAATCTAGTTCATAACAATCAAGTTTAAGAGAAAGACAGAGAGTGTCGTAGCCCTAGTTCATCTCATGCTAGCCAAAGCTGTCGTTCTTTATCTCGTGCCACAATGCGGCATCCTAGTCCCACATGTGTGTACGAGTTCAGCCTAAGAGAGAAGAGAGAATTCGAGAGTGAGGGAAGGAGGAATCGAAGAGAGAGAAGAGAATAAGGCCGAGAGGAGGAAGGTACCTATCGGAGGGGGAGAAGAAAAGAAGAGGTATACGAGGAGGGAAGAAAAGTGATCCACGAGGAGGAACGAAAGAAGAAGAGAAAATAAGAGAAAATTACCCGTATGAGGTGGAGAGAACCCATGGGGAAGCTGCCACATGTGCATGAGCTGTTCGCGCAAGGGAAGCTGGACATGGAGGATTAATCACGCTCAGATGATGAGGAGCAACCTCGAGCACTTGCAACCCCTATCTTGTTCACCATGTCAAGGCCATGTTAGGACGTGATCTGGAATTCTTATACATTGGTATATTTTTGTAGTGAGGAAATTTTTCGATTAATGAAACATCATTGATCGAGAAGTAAAATTTCAATAAATTATGTGAGGTGATAAAAGTTTATTTTGCGCTATTAGTAGTAAGTTCAATGTCAACATAAAATCAAAATTAGATCTAATCTGTCGGAGATTTTTCTATATTGGTTATAACTATTCAATCTAAAAAAAATTCTAAACAATTTGCCTCTTGAAGATGGGAGGGAATTTAGTTCGAATTTATTTTAATACCAAAACTCGAGAAGAAGAACCAGTTTAAAATCGACCATCGTTTGGACGAACAAAAACTTACCCCTTAGAAAGGTCTCAAAGAATTGAAAATGCCGGCCATTCGGTTGGGAAGCCACCATCTTCACCAATCTGAATAGACTGTCAAAAAGCTACATTTTAGTTGTCGGCACCAATCATCTACACTTTATCGTCCAGAGAAAAGCTTACACTTCTGTATGTAATAGAGTGCGACTTCTACGGAGGTTGCAGCTCCCATAGTGGTGACTCTCCATTGATGATGTACAGAACGACCCTATTCTAAAAACTTATCCCTTCAATTTCCATGATACACCCACAAAACAACGATATCCGGAGTAAATAATAATATCATGTAAGATATTCGTCACTCAAAACCGATTTTCCAAATCAAATGAACTATAGTTTTCAGTACTGAACTTATGCTATCAGCCTAATCATGCATTTATTAACCTGAACAAACTAAAAATTTAAATTTATGAACATTAGCAGATTTCAACACCTCTCTAAACAATGTTACTTACCCGCTTAACAATTGGGGCTAAAATTAAAAATTAGGTTTTTGTAATAGTAAGATTCTTTTGTCTAGTAGAATTTGTACTACTTTTTTTTATGTTATTAGAGGCAATTGGTAAATCCAATTACTATTGATCCTCGTAAATAAACCAAACGAAACCAACACTAAATCCAAAACTGGGCCCACATCAATAATAATTTTGTATATAAATAATTATATAATAATTTGACACAAGAATACTAATAAAGCTTTTTTTTTTATTATCTTAAAGATCCAATTGGAGACGACGATCATATATCATCGAGCGATGGATCTTGGCAGAAATGTGGGCGATTTTCGGACCCGGATTCTCCGGCGCCGTTTTCGGAACCGGGTGGTGGTTTGGGTTGACGCCGTCGTGTGCAGTTCCCATCCAAGTTCCTTTCGTCCATACCTTCCCGGTAATATACATCCATCGAAAATTGCCTCTCGTCAATTTAGGGTTTTCAGAAAATTTGATTTTGGGTTTTCGCAGGCATATTCGCATCTCTCGGAGCTTTGATGTTCAATTGCGTCAGAAAAGAGGACATTGATTACTCTCCTTATGACGAAGGCGAATGGAGGTAAGTTTTCGAATTGATTGATCAATTTGAATTTAGAATCAAAACTCAGTTCTTTAACCTAAAAGCTTGGTTACTTTTTGTTTTTTATATGTTATTCTGTGGAAACTAGGAGATAGTTGAGATAAGTGTTCAATTTTAGCTGTGATTTGTGACTGATCCATTTAGTTTGAAAGTATTGATATATCTTAAGAGCTTGGTTAGAAGCTAGTTGATATATCTTGTGTGTTGCAACCTATTTTCTGAAATAAGTTTTCGCGGAGGTTTGCGGCTGGTTTCAGCTGTTCTTGATTTGTGTTTTTATGTATTTTGATTGTTGACTGCAGATTGAAGCTATGGCTTTTCATAGCGTATGTCGTAGCATTTGTTTCCTTAGCTGCTTCTGTTGGCTTGCTGATTCAAGATTCGGTTGTGAAGACTGGTCCTTCGACTTGGACTGGTGTGGCTGGAGTTTTCAATGCGTGTTTGTATTGATAAGGTAAAGGCGTTTTTACACTTTCTATGTTTATCTAATACTTCTGGCTTCTCTTCTGGTTGTGCATTTCTTTGAAGCACCACAAAACACTGCTTTTGATTTGGGAAAATGTGACTGAGAAGATTGAACTCAACCAACTTTAGAAAATCTACCTAAACTTGTATAATCGGATCATGATATTTAGTGATTCTTACGTTATTAGTCCTCTGAATTCTAACAGTTCCATACTTAAGTAAATGGGCTGCCTTTTTCATGCATCTCAACTAAAACTAGCCTTTGGGTATCATCTTTAATAATCAAAATTGTTTTTGTACTGTTAACAATAAATTCAAAGTAAACATTTGTTAATTAGCATTAAGATTAGTTAACAGATTAGTTTTTTCTCAGCTAGTAGTAGCATAAGACTATGGGTATAGCTAGCTTTTGTATGGCACAGTCAAACCTGGCAAATGTGATTTGCATTTGCAATGACACAGTAAAGCATCCTAACCTTTTTCTTTTAATTCAATCTTGTGTATATCTCTTGGGCACTGACCACAATTGTTTTGACCAGTGGGCTTATGTATTGGACATCGCACTCAGAGTAAGTAGACGCACAGACTCATACTTCATCTCCGACTCAGATACATGATGTGACAACTTACAAGTTCCTCTCTTTTCTCTACTCTGTAAATTCCTGTGTCTTGTCTGGTCAGCTTGGCGTGTGTGTGAGATTCCTCTGTTGCATCAGTGGGTGTGTTGTGAAAACTTGTGGTAAATGTTAATGAAAATACACCGTTATTACAAGAATGTATTGGACTACAAATCATTCCATCGTCCAAAGCGAACACAAATAGGCAAACGCCTTCAATTCAGTCGCATAGTTAGATTATGTGTTACACCATTTCCAAGCCAAATTCATTTGGTTGGTTATCTAGAAAAGAAAACTCAGAATCATGTGATCAGCAAGAAGAGGGTATATGCTCAATAAGATAAAGGAAGTTAGAAAAGAAAACCATAAGCCTCAAAAAGAAGACAAGAGAAGAAAGAGACCTCAGTTAGATGTTGGAAAGGAAAACCAAAATGGGCACTATTATCATCAGCGTTGCAGACCAAAGAATAGCCAAAGTATAAAGCTGTGAGAGATATGTTAAAGATGTTAAACAATATGCCAGACAGCGGAATCCTTACCAAACAAAATATACATGAGTTCTTGCGTATAGTCACAATGTGCAAGTATTTTCGATAAAGATCCCAATACAATATGAATAGTTAAGAGATATTTTCAAGTATCACAAACTATATTTGGTCCTCAAAGCGGTGTTATATAGTATATATATGCTCTAAAAAGCTTGAATTTGGTTGAAAAGGTTCACACTTAGGCATGGTCAAATTTACGTAGATCCTCTTTTGTTTTGGTAATCTGCTACGAGTATTCTTCAAGATTCGAGGTCGAATCTTCTTTCAATGGGAAGTCTTGATGCAGAACATCAAATCGTGATGGTTGCTGCTTTACACAGGTTTGTGTCTGAGTCTTTGTGTTGGCTTTATCTAATGATTTGTGTTGATGAAAAACTCTTTTGCAAATTATATATTCTCCTGGGAGAATTAACTGTAAGAGCCAACTCGCTTGCTCATCAAACATTAGAGACAAGAAAACAGACAAAAAGAGGAACATGTGTATGAGAGCTGAGCCATTTTTTTCAGACCAAAGAAAGATCTACAAAGTCTGAAGAGGGCAGGACACTCATATGGCAACTCAAAGCCTCATCAGCTTTATTTGCACTATTTGCAAATTATCAAAACAAACAAACAAAAACCCTCCCTGCCTTTCTCCTCTCCCATTGCCAAAGTAGTAGCTAAGCTTTTCTCAGGAACAAAAATACCAAAAGAAGAAAAATATAAAAAGAAATTAGAAACTATCTTTCCAAAAACCAGTACTTTCTTCAGTTTTGTAAAGTTGGGTTCAGGAGTCTTAAACTACATCCTCTCTTGCTTCATGTATCATGGACAGATTCTGCGGAAATGACGGCCTCAGCTCCTTGTACTGTTTAAACAAAACAAAGAACATAACCATTGTTAATTTTTCTTGAGTTATAATATGAGAGAGAGAGAGAGAGACTGGGACTGTTATGTCGTTTTACCTGTTCATAAAAGGATTTTATCTCCTCCTCTGTGAGAGCTTCATCTTCACCATTGTTTTCATCCCAGCCGAGCGATCTAAGGAACTCTGCCTCTTCCTCATCTGGAGTGTCAGTTGCTTCAAAGCCACTAGTGTGAGAACCTACCTGGACCCTTTCAGTCACTTCGAGCCCACTTGTTGCCTGTGGACTCGAAGGGTCACTAGCTATAAGATCCTTAGAGCTGTTGACTTTTCGCTCAACAGAAGAAGAGACACTGGTTGAAGAGTTAACGGGATCAGTGGAGATGCTTGTTGATGTAGTTTTTTTCTGCTTCAGAGCACTGTAAAATGCACTCCTGCTCTGAGTTTGAGCAGCGGAAGATTTCTTTTCGACAGTTTGGCCAGATATCATGGAGAAGGTACTAGCTCCCTTGAGCTCCTTTGGGCTGTTTGTACTTCTCACAGGAGCAGATTGTGTTGATAGAGCATTGGAGATCAGCTGGCTAGAGGCGGCTCGAGTGTTTGTATTAGCACTAGGGCTTCCAGATTCTTTAACAGCACTGACACCATTTTCCCTAGCCGGTTTGAGAACTAACAGCTTCTTCTCAGGTTTGATTTGACCACTCGGATTAGACTGGAAATTACCAAGTAGGACAGAGGGCTGTTGTTGGGCATTTCTTGAGGGAGCAAGACAAGTTTCACCAGTTCGAACCACTTGCTTAGTCTTGGATTTATCAGAAGAATTCAGACTCTGACAAATCAAATAAAACAGATATTGATTGTAGCACAAGATGAATGAGGAATGATATAACTGACTAAGGTAAATACTTACCGAGCACTTTGGTGCTGAAGGCACAACCGGTATCAATTGCCTTGACTGCTTGATTGCCAAGTCCTCGAGTCGTTGTGTCTTCACCGATCCCTGAAAAAGATGGTCATAATCTTAGAAAAGCAGAGAAGTAAGTGTACAACAAAGTTATGCCAAGATGATGCAAACCATACTTGGGGAGGGGTGTGAGTTCTTGCTGGAGCCTGCACCAATGCTTCAGCCATGTTAAGACCACTTGGTCCAGTTAAAGCTCCCGTGCTAACAGCATTAGCTTTTGGAGACGTTAATGACCCAGTACAAGCCTTCTCGATGACATTGGGAACCTCTGCCAGAGCAGATGTCCAACCTTCCCCACCAATCAAAGCTGAGTTACCAACTGGCAAGTTCTGAACAGCTGAACTTATACCAGGAGATGAGACTCGTACAACATCTTGCCCATTTTGCTTCTCTTCAGCTCCAAGAGAAGGAAAATCCTTATCAAACCCAGTTCTCTGAAAGCTATTCCCAATGCTAGGTCCAGAGAGTACTCCGTTTCCGTTGTAACTATTACTACTGCCACCATTTTTCAAGCCCACTGTTAATCCTCGAGACAGGTGGTCTCCCTGTTTCCTTGTTACCATTGAATGTGATCGTCTCAATGGATCGGGGTCCCTACCAGTCAAGATAGTTCTAAGAGGGATAGAGGTGTCAAGGTCCCATGGATCCACATAGCTTACCCTATCCTTGTCCCTGCTGCGGTCCTTATCCCTTTGACTCCTATTAAAGTTGAAACTACTATATGCATGCTTTGCAGAACCATTACTAGCGCCCCTCCTTGAATTAGTAGAAGAAGATCGATCCAGAAAAGGAGAATGAATTGAATCAACGTCACTTTTGCTCCTAGAGTTCCTATTCCTGCTATTATGTTGTAAAGATGCAGAATCTAAACAAAGAAAACAAGATAGGATACAGTTAAAATCATGAAATTCTGATCAATGAAATGCTCTATGACTCGAACATACCTGAATGAGAAGAAGATGATACAAGGAGGTGGTTTGAACTCCCACCACCAGAAGCATGCCCTGAACTTCTCAACCATTCCGGAGCTAAAGAGTGTTCACCTTTGTCCATTAGGAAAGCTGTACCTCATCAGATACAAGAAAGAACACACACTTCCTCTGACCTTCTTCACCCCCCAACAACAATAGAGAAAGCTCCTCTGACAAAAGTTCTAACCTATCCTAGCTTTCTCTAGCATCTAAAAAATCTACCACAGTGAACGCCGGGCGACGAATCCTAATCCGAATCCGAATCCAATCCCTAGGCTTCTTTAAACACTAATGCAATCTTGCACAAATCCAAATGGGTTGTTCCAACTCTCAAAATCTCGTGAACGCACCAAGATAACAAAACCTTCTACACTTCCATCCCTCAGACAGATGGCTTAGAAGAGCAATTTAGCTTCACACTAGAGAACACTCATCTTTAAGAACACACACATCAAAGGGACAAACCCCAAACACCTCTATTCAATGCCACAGCCACAATTCAAGTGATGAAACCCTAACACCTACACATATAATCTCTCAACCACTAATCACCAGTGCCAATATTAATCAGCCTAAGGCTATATCTAGGGTTCCAGAAACCAACAAACTCCGCTCAAAGCAACAATCAGAAAAAATTCCCCAACACCAGAAACGACGAAGGGTATGATGTAATAGAGATAGAGAACACACCAAAAACCCTAACCCAGAAAGAGATTGTTGCGTCTCGTAGATTCAATCGCTCAATCGAAAGAAATGGCCTTTTAATTTCTTTTTAACCCACAACGAGAGAAAACGACAAGCTTTGCAAAACGCGATACAAGGAGAAGGATGGATAAGAAGAAGGAAACTTGTACAAGAAATATTGGAATCAGATGAAATTAGGGTTTTTGCGAGTGGTTGTCGAAGAAGAAGAAGAAAGGAGGCGAGAAAATTTTGTTAAATTGGTTTTTCTCTTCTGTGTCAATTTTTTGGGAACGAAACGTATGAAGAAACAATGAGCCTTTTCCTCTCCTTAGAACAATAATCAAAATATATTTAATGTTTTTTTTTTTTTTTAATTTCGGTATTTTGTTTTTATTTGTTTAATCTAATTTGAATATTTAGTTAAAATTCAGGTACGTAGGTGTATAATATAGGCCCAACTAATGATCCTAGATGGGCCCATAAACCTTTTTCTTTGTATTGTTCACTCAACGTGTTTTATCCTACTGTATAACGGAATTGGTTGTGTAAAACCTTACATTCTAAAGAGAATGAGTTTTCACAAATTTAATGCAAGTAACGAACCATTTTAATGTAAGTAACGAATTCTATAATTTAATTTTATATCCTCCATATATTAAAAGAAAGTCATTGATGTTTTTTAATATATCCAACCCAAAATTATTTATAAATTTTTAATATAATTTCATTTTATATGCATTTCAATACAAAATATTCTATCATCTACTATAAAACTGAAAATATGTATCTCTAATCTTATGAATAACTTAAATGCAATTTTATTTGTATAATATAAATCATTAGAATATAATATAATCATTAGAATATTTGAAATCTAATTTGTAAGTTTATTTATGGGCTAAAATGTTATGGTATTACATAGTATTTATGTTGCATTGTTTCAAAATTGAAATATTTAACGCACTTTTAGTCAAGTGGTTAACTCCATTTGACTCCGCCTTCCCACCAGAGTTCGACTCCACTAAGTCGCGTTACCCCGCGTAGTAGGGATTGGCTATGGATCGGGCCTTGTCGATCCAAAGATGTCAAAAAAAAAAAAAAAAAAAAAAAAAAAAAAAACGCACCTATAAAATATATCGGGATTAAATGATACAAACTTTGAGTCTTTTTTTAATCTTTCTATTTATAAAATATTAATCATTCTAATTTTTTATAACAAACCCCAACTTGAATTCTTAGTTTTGCAACCAACAAAATTGTTTTGGAAAAACAATTAAAACAGATAGAATTAAACTCAGTAGTTTGCTTGATTTCCGAGTTGTGTTAAAAACATATTATAAACCCAAACATAAACCTCTAAGCTCGGAATTTTCAAACTTAGGGGGTGTTATTGGTTTATTCATTTGTAAATCCATATAGAATTTGAAAATTTCTATTAATTATGAAATCAAGATATGTGGATTTTGAAATAACATGTGTTTACCCATGGATTTGAATCCTTCTATTTTTCTCTTTCAATTCCATTCAAATCCATTTAAAACATAATTTGGATTCTCAAATCCAAAAACAAATGACTAAACGAATAACATAGGATTTTAACTAGTATTTATAAATCATAGAACCAATAACACATGATTTTAATTAGGATTTTAAAATCAATGATTGAATAACAAATGATTTTTGTTTGGATTTCTAATTCCTTATAAATCCATGAACCAATAACCCCTCCTTAGATTATATTTATTGGAGGCTACCATCTTCGCTAGATGGGAGGGAGAAAACCTACTGTTATGCTTGGATCTTGTGGTTCATATATGGAAAGATAGGAATAAAAAGGTATTCAAGGGATTACAATCTGATCCCACAGATATATTAAATCACGCTTTGAGTGAAAAATTATTGTGGGAAGAAAATCAGTTGGAACCGATCGAAACTAGCTCTATTACGGGAAAATTGGATAGCCCAGTTCAGTAAATAAGATGTCGGATTGATGGCTCTTGGAAAAATTTGGATCCAACTATGGGTATAGGATGGTAGTGTTTTCAAGGAACTGAACAAACGATACTGCTCAATGCAAAGTGCCTTCGGAGATGTCCCTTCCCCCTACATTCAGAGATGGAAGCTTTAATTTGGGCTATGAAGAATATTCTTTCAAGAAAGATCGATTGTCAGGCGTTTGAAACAGATTATTTGGAGTTAGTCTCGATGATACAGTCACCTGATGAATGGCCCGCTTTCTCCAATCAGGTTGATGAGTTTGGTTTACTCCGTGTCTATTTCTCATACTTCTCGCTTTCTCTTATTTCTTGTTTATGTAATGTTAAAGTGGACTGTTTAGCCCGCTCTTCTAGACTCTTATTTTCTGAAGTTTCTTTTGTAGACTCTTCTCCTCCTAATTGGGCAACCAATCTAGGAGTTACTTATTAATTAATGTGTGGTTGACAAAAAAAAAACCCAAACAACACTGTATACTCTTTAAACATAATTGATATAAGCCTCGATGAGTGAAGCTTCTAGATCGGCCAAGAACAGTTCGTAGAAGGCTGAAAGCTCTCTCTACTGATATGTCTATAATTTGCATGATTTAAGCATTCATTCTTCATCACTTTGTCATTGTTTCAATCACATTTCATCTCATCAGTAGTCGTTTTAGTGTGTTTTGCATACTTAGGACGGTTTTGCATTAAAATTGCATGTGCATTGCATATTTGGTTGTTTTCAGGTACTTTGGATGCTTTTGGAGTTCAAACAGAGGAGAAACAGAACAGAAATGCAGAACGCTCAATCACGCCTTCAGCCAAAGCACTCGATCGCAACCTTGGAGCCCTGACAGAGCAAAACCACTCGATCACAACCCCAGAAACTGTCATGAAAGGCAAAACCACTCAATCACAACCCCGGAGCAATTTCAGAAGAAACCACTCGATCGCAAGATCGAGCAGAAGCTGTCATAGAGGACATACCACTCGATCACAACCCCGGAGAAGCCAGAAGCTTAGTTTCACTCGATCGCAAGCCCGGAGGGATCACCTACTCTACACCACTCGATCACCACCTCACGTCATCTACTCGATCGCACCACTCGATCGCAGGGTCGCTGGACCATTCCATCTCATCTTCACTACAGACCACTCGATCGCAAGACGGAGTTCCCGAAGCCCAGTTTGATCAGTTTCACTCGATCACAGGGAAGCCCATTTCAGCCCATCAGATGCTCGATCGCAGAGTCTCGTTGTGAAGACCACTATCCCGAACTTTCCTTATTTAACTTTTCTCGCTTATATAAGCAGCCTCTAAGGGTTTTCCCTAGGGCATCCAGTTTTTATTTTCAGTTTTTACCTAGACTTGTTTTGATAGCCGCATTGTGTTCTTCCTGCGACTTTGTATTCGCTTTCAAGTATTTTATAATTCAGTTTTCGTTTCAGTCTTTATCATTTCCTGTTATCATGTTTTCAATCGTTTCATTGCTATTGTTTTTGATTATGTCTGAGTAGTGAATTGTATTTCTGAGGATGGGATAGAGTAGTCGTGGTTGCCTTAGTCGCTTTAGATGGTTGAGTTTAGATTGTTTGAATCCCTTCTGGATTAGTTGCGCTTATTGCTTGTTCCTTTCTGATCAACTGGAAAATGAATCCAGACATTCCCGCACCCAAAAGGTGTTTGATGGAATGTCTGATCTACTAATTCCAGAGATACTCGTCTCTATCCCAAGGTATTGGCCGTTTAGAGCGGGTATTGGCTTTAACAAGTTGATTCGATATTGCCTGCTTAGTTAGAGATCGCTAATGGTGATTAGGTCTGTGTCTAGCTCTGCTTGAGAATTTCTATCACGGTGGTGAATTGATTTGCTTTTGAACTTGTTGTCAAGGGATAGCTTCTGTGAAGTTTTGTCAACCGTCTAAATAGATTAAGGAGACCATGCTATTCGATTACCCTATCCTTAGGAATCTCTCATCCATTTGATTGCCTGTTATCTTACTTGCTTTGTTATTCTACTGCCTGCTATTGCTAGTTTGCATTCCAGTTTCATTTCATTTCTGTTATTTCGCATTAGGACTGTTAGAAAACCACAACTCTCTGCTTGGCTTGACTTAGCAAATTCTGATCATATCTCATCTGTTTGCATCACACTAGATTGGATTGACAACCTAAAATACTACAACGACATGATAGTGCTTTAGGATAATTGATCAAAAAAACCTATTATCAATTTGGCGCCGTTGCCAGTTTAGTGTTTGTTTGCTATATTTGAGATCATTAGAATCGTTAAGATCAAGTTCGTTTTTGTTACACAAGATACTGACATTGTGTTTTTCTGTCTATGTTTCAGGTACTCACAGCAACCAGCTTTACAGACTCATCTCTGATTGGTCTGCTAAAGCCTTGCTGTTACCTGTTATATGCATACACGGTCAAGAGGAAATCAGAATCTCCTTTTCAACGATAACATCGACCGTATCGCTCGCCAACTAAGAGAACAGACAGCAACAGACACAATGGCTGACATTGTAGATGACCAAGACCAACCCAACAACATTGGTGCTGGTGACTTCCAACACAATCACAACCAGCGTCATGGAATTGTTCCTCCACCAGTCCAGAACAACAACTTTGAGATCAAGAGCGGTCTCATTGCAATGGTTCAGGGGAACAAATTTCACGGCTTGCCAATGGAGGATCCGCT